AGACGAAAAGCTGCCTGTGCCTTGCTAATCTATAACTTTTTGACATTCATATTTTTGTACCATCTAAGAGAAATTGTCTAAAGTAGGTTACAGGGGAAAATTGCCCTTTTGTTGAATTGGCTGAATTCTTGATGTCAAGATATTCTGAAGAAAATGCCCAGATACCAAACCGTTCTAATGGCTAGTTTCGGCGCTAAAGGCCGCTGAAATTTCAATCTTGATAACTTTTCTCCTGATGAATGATGCTCTTTGAGTCATTATTATATTTCATTGTGATTGGATGAGTCACTACTAGGAGTTCTCATCGATATTGTCGATACTAGTGAACAATTATACAATGTGTTCCAGTTATTATTTTTCAAGAAAATAATGATATTCTTCAATTTCATAGGACCGATATCAACCCGTTCCATATGACAGCATCTGAATGATATTCGATTAAAAAAAATATTTCAATATTCAATATTGATGTGATTATGTTTCTTCTAATATCAATCTCCTTTTTGTCAAGGTTTGAGATAGAATGTTATTTTGCGATTTTCCTCCTGGAATAATTCGTATATATAGCCTCAATAAATCAGCAGAAGTAACAAAGTTTACAAACTATTCAATATCTGCGATCCTGCCTCATCAACTTAGGATGAGATATATTGACATGCATTTGAGGAATATACTATATTAATCAGAATTTTTTGACGAAGATTACAAGGGATATTCATCTAAAGATGCGAATGGATACTGATATTACTGATAATATCTGATACTGTTATAGAACGAGGTGATAACGTTGTATATCTCCCCTTTTCATACTATAGGTGAACATTAAATAATAATAATAGTAATGATGATAATAAAAGTAATGATAATAATAATGATAATGGATGTTTTTATTGGAGAAACTGTTCCACAATTGAACTGCGACACGTGACAATATCCTTTTTTATTGAATTATTGGATAGAATCATATTTTACCTTCCCCATAATTGCTGAAACACACTGTATAATTCTTGACCAACAGCGACAATATTGAAGAAAACTCCTTGTACTGACTTATCCTATCAAAAAAATATATAATAATAGCTAGAATTGAAAAATTTATCAGGAGAAAAAAAACAACATTGAGTCTTCAGCGGCCACTAGCGCCAAAACTATCCATCAGAACAGTTTGGTATTCGGCCATTTTTTTTCAGAATGTCTTGGACTATAACATATCAGAACAGTTTGGTATTCTGACATTTTGTTCAGAATGTCTTGGGCTATAACATATCAAAAATTCAGTCAATTTGACAGAAGGCCAATTCACCCTATATAAAACGTGCGGTGCCCTCTGCTTCTCTTGTAACTTGTTGCTATCAACAGCTTCTTTGCTTCTTTTTTTTTTTCAATCAATGAGTTGAAAACAATATCTACTCTCCTGAAATTATTTCAGGTACGTTATTGAACATTTGACACTTCATCGCAGTTTTCTCAGATTTTTATCCAGAAGACCTGGACGTCTGTGTCTCGTCCAGGAACCTGGAACCTAGAGGACCTTTTTTTAAGTTCTGGTTCCTACGAAAAGGGATATTCTGTAATGTTCAGAGAACATCGTGAGAACAAAGGGAATGAGGTGTTCTCTCTGAATATCTTGAGGTTATATACGTCAAGAAAAACCTTCCTTGGCAATGTGTTCCAGAGCCTCGATGTTCGTTGGATCAACGGGACTTTGGGAGGAGATGTTCGGCAGGTTTCCAAAGTGACCACGAAGGGGTGCGAAGCCTCAACTTGACACGTTTATCTCGTGGGGATTGCCAAGGAAAGAACACTTGTTGATATTGTATGAAAGCATCGTCCATGAAAATATCTATTGAAGAAAGCCAGATCGCCAACTTTTTTACGGTGTTCCAGATAAGTGAGTGAGTTTGTGAGCGAGGCATTACCCCCGAGACGAATAGCAGTTTTTTGGACAGAATCCAACAGTTTCAGAGTATTTTCAGGTGCTGCAATCCAAATATGATGGGAACAGTATTCCAGGACAGGTCCTTCCTGTACCTCATATATCATGAGCAGCTGACTGGAAGTGAAAACGCTCCTGGCCGGAAACAGAAAACCTAGAGCCTTGAAGTTGAACCTTGACGTTCAGGCTGAATCCATCCAGGATTATTTCTAAGGTAAGAATTCATTTTCTGTTATCAACCTTCGAATTCTTCTCCGAGTAATCTCTCATTCTTTCTGAGAAATGAATGCAACCTGAGGAAGGTTTTTTTTTTCTATAGCCTGCCCAATTTGTCTGGTTCCTGTATAGGTTTTGCCTTCTTGTGACGAAGGCACAATCTAAGGTTCATATTTTCTCGAAGTGATATTTTTCTTAATATTCCACTGTCAGTATTTTTCCAATCAGCTCAACCAATTACATGTCAGTGCGTATCTGTTGAATTATCTCAGGGTCTACCAGATATGGATTCCAGACCTACCAACTTCACCCCTGAAGTCCTTACCAAATATCTGGCATTTAAAATTCGAACAAGGACTTGCTACCCTGTATAATATATATACATATTCCTTTTCTTCCACTTTGAGGTAGTTTTCTTGGCATTTTAGTCGAAGGATTTGTCAACTTCATTCAATATCGTACCTCTAATCACATTGTCGACAATTCTCTGATTCCTCGTATATTACCGCATGCACTATATATACATGATTTGAATGTCCTGGTTAACCAAAAAAGGTTGTAAAGGACGGCAAAACCTAGAAACAGTCAGAACTTTCACTAAAAGATGTACAGGGTGATTCACCATAAATGTCCCCCCCTTTAGCTCAGTTATTTTTGAACCGATTTTTAAATTTGAATTATCATCTTGAATGATTTTCAATAAAGTTTTTTTCCGCTAGATCAGAAAATACAGGGTGCTCGAAACAAACGATCTACGGGGTACTATTTGATTTTTTTAAATGGAACACCCTATTTTTCATTGTATTTTTAGATTCTTCCTGAAGAGCTGATTTGATCAATGTATCACACTTGGGGTCTAGCGGGACTGATTACAGAGATATAGGGTGTTCAGAATCGAGATTTTCAACTTTAGGATTTTTTTTGTGACGAAACTATTCATTATCGGTCACGCGATTCTTATGTCCGTATCTCAACTTTTTATTCACTATCTACTGACATTCAATAATTGGAACAGATACAGGGTGACCAGAATTCTTAATCTTGAACCACCCTGTGAATGTTCCAATTAAATATCACTAGATAGTAAATCGAAAGTTGGGATGGGAACATGAAAGCCGTTTTGACCAATAATGAATAGTTTCAGCACAAAAAAATCCTGAAGTTGAAAAATCTCGATTTTGAACACCCTATATCTCTGTAATCATTCCTGCTAAACCCCAAGTGTGATACATTGATGAAATCAGCTCTTCAGGAAAAATCTTAAAATACAATAGAATACAGGGTGTTCCATTCAAAAAAATCAATTAGAACTCTGTAGATCGTTTGTTCCGAGCACCCTGTATTTTCTGATGCAGCGGGAAAAAAATTTCAGAAAAATCATTTTAGATTATCTTTCAAATTTTTAAAACGGTTCAAAAATAAGTGAGCTAGAGGGGGGGACATTTATGGTGAATCACCCTGTACATACCATAGTACTTGGTAGCTCTGGAAGCAGACCTTCGATGGGAATCAGATCGTATCAATTGCTCTTGTGGAGAAGAATGTTCTGAATTCATTTTGCTCCATTTCTTTCTGCATCTCAAACATCCATCAGCATTTTTACATTATTCTCGATACTATCCTACCCAGCCAACACAAAGAGGTCTCAAAGATATCTTGGCAACCTCCTCCTAGGAAATTACTCATTACTCCTTTGAGCGATGGCCAAGAACACTATTTTTTCTCCAAATGTCCGCCGCCGAGATATTCTCAACGAGGCCTGAGCGATATCCCATGGAAAAATTCACATAGAATACCTCCAGGAAAGTTCCTTGAGAAATTCGTATACAGAACCTTGTTCCGAGAACTTTGGGAGATTCGCATCAATTGCCACTGGTGCGATCTCCAAGTATTCGTAGAACCGAATTATTCGAGATATTCGCACAAATAGCCTTGTGGCGAGTACTTCAGGAGATTCGCATCAATTATTACTACTGACAAGGTCTGTGAGTTATCGCTACTGGGAGTTATTCAAGATATTTCCACACATAGGCATCTGGTGAGAAATTCGGGAGATTTGCGTCAATCTACTCGCAACTACGAGTGAACCAAAGAATTCACGAAAAATGCTCCTGTCGAGGTCTCTGAGAGCTCGCAATACGAACTGTTCAAGATATTCTCAAGATTATCATTTCGCGAGTTTCTCGAGATATTTTCGTTTCTATCCAAGTCTCTCTTCATCGAAACGCACTTCACATATCCTGAAAAGAATACCAAAATCAGCTAGGATTTGCACCCCAGAATACCTCTGTAGAATGATAGGGAATTGTATCAAATCCAATTCCTCTTCCTGCTGGGATAACCGTTTGGGTTTTGCCTACAATTTTTTTTTATACTTCATTCAAAGAAGACCCGTTGAATATCCTCGACATCTGTTATGAAGAAGAATATCAATCTCTTGAAAGAGATTTGTACTACGAGTAGTGCTTCACCAAACTCATTGAAACGCAATCCAAATAAATTTTATATTGCGAAGTTTCTGATGGTGATATTTCTTCAGCCATAAGAATCCTGAGTTCAAGTGATACCTCAGCTGGGCAAGATAATGATACTCCATCAGAGCTCAGATTGGATCATCCGAAGTCGAATTCCGAACTCTCACCAATTCAGCAATTTGACCATGCCAATATACTGCATGTTACGGAAGAAAAAGTTCTGAATACAATAACTTCATCCCATTCAAGTTCAGCAAGTGGTATTGATGGTTTTCGGCCAAGTCATATGCAAGATATGCTGAGCCACAGTTCAGGTAAATTTGAAGACAAACTCCTTATGTTAATGAAAAACTTATGCAATTTGATGAATGGAAATGAAAGGAGACCTAGGTCCTACACAGTTTGGATTCGGTACTCGAGGTGGAAACGAAGCGATGGCTCATCCGACACGAAAATACATTGACGAGCATCCGGACTCGTTATCAAAAATATTCATCAAGTTGGATTTCAAGAACGCCTTCGATATGCTAGACAGAAACGTCATGCAACATGAAGTGAAGGATACTTTGCCAAGTCTTCATCCTTTTATCAGCCAATGCTCCTTGAGCTTTGGTGAACATTTCATTGGATCTCAAACAGGTGAACAACAAGGTGATCCTTTAGGTCCTGCACTATTCGCCTAATTATTGACGAGCTTACATTCTGAATTCAATTGTTGGTACTTGGATGATGGTTCTATAGGTGATAACATTGATGTAGCTCTTGACGATTTTGAGAAGATTATCAACAGTTCCAAGTAAATTGGTGTCGAACTCGACTTCAATAAATGTGAGCTGATCGCTCCGTCTTGTTCTGAGGTACAGTTTTTCGGAAAATTCCAGAAAAGTGCTCCTGGTATCAAAATTTCACCTGAATCGGAATGGAATCTTCTAGGTGCTCCATTATCGACTGAAGCTTTTTCTCTAAGTCTCTTGAATTAAAAGAGATCTCTTCAACTGATTTCTGAACGTTTGTTCAATATTCCTTTGCACATTCCTTTTTTTTTTATTGAGGAATCTTTTGATGATTCCAAAACTTACGCATATTCTCAGATGTAGCCCATCTTCAAGATGCCATTCGAAAGTTGCTGAATTCGATAATCTGATGCATTCTTCGATTGAAAAAATAACTTACAACCGTATAGATGGAAATTCGTGGCTTCGAGCTACACTCCCTGTAAATTTTGGTGGATTAGGATCACGTTCGGCTTCATCACTGGCCTTGCCAGCCTCATTGTCTTCAGTTAATAGTGTTTCCAAATTGATTGATGTGATCTCTCCTGATACTTTTCTCAGAGTCAGAGATGACTTCTATATGGAAGCTGAATTTAATTGGCAATCCATTTCTAAAACAATTTCATCCGAAGAATGTGAAATTATTCGAGAAGCATAGGATAATCCTCTTCTTGGTGTCACATCCGATAAGGTCTCTGCAACAGCTACCTCGTCATCCGAGAAGGCCCGACTCAATGCAGTGAGTGTCAAAGAATCAAGTGCATGGTTGAACGCCTTACCTGTTGCTGCTCTAGGAAATCTTCTGGATGATGATTCTTTCAGAGTTGTAATTGGATTGACATGAGGTCTGGATATTTGCACTCCTCATAAATGTATTTGTGGAAGTAAAGTGGATGAGAAGGAAACATATGATTTGAGTTGCAGAAAAAGTTCAGGTCGGCACTCAAGACATCATCAAGTAAACGATATCATTAGACGTGCATTAATATCAGCAGATGTCCCGAATATTTTGGATCCTCTTGGGACTAGTCGTGATGATGGAAAAAGTCCCTATGGCATGTCCCTTATTCCTTGGTCATGTGGGAAAGCTTGAGCTTCAATGAAGATGCATTTCAGAATGATCTCTATGCCACCCCTTTTTTCAGGATCTTCGATCAAAATAATGTTGATGAAAAGTTATCTTTTTTAGTGAATTGGTAAGTAAATTTATTCAATCGTCATGCTCCCATCACTACTTCGAGTGTAACCAAACCAAAAGCTCCATGGTTAACTGGAGCAATCAAAGAAATGATCTCCATCAGGAAGAAAGCATTGAAGAAATATAGGAGAACTAAAGCAGATGCTTATTTTCAATCTTATTAAGATATAAGAAACTACACAAATCGGGCTATGAAAAATGAAAAAAAGGCATATTTCAAGAATCAACTCAATACGAAAAACAAAAAAGACTCATGAAGAACCTTGAAATCAACCAAAGTTATACCTGAAAAGTCGCATGAGCTACCTGAACATTTGAGAAACTCGAATCATCTGAATCATTACTCCACAAGCTCAATCCCTCTCAAAGAACCCTTACCAGATCTTCTGCATTTCTACAACACCAATACCCGTGTAGACTCATCCTTCGAATTTCAGGAAGTAAATGATATTTTCATATATGAGGCTCAAAGCAGCATTAAGACCAATGCATAGGGCTGCGATGGTCTGAATTTGAGACTCATCAAGATGTGTTGTCCATTTATAATCACATACATCACGCACATAATCAACTTTTGTTTATGCAACAATGTGGTACCAGATTTGTGGAAGAGGGCAGTTGTCTTGGTTTTGCCCAAGAAGACTAATCCCGTAGAATATAAAGATCTACGTGCTTTGAGTATTCTTCCGAACCTTTCTAAAGTCTTGGAAAGAACTATCGAGTCACAACTGAGAGATCATATCACAAATCACTCACTACTATCAGAAGTTCAGTCAGGATTTAGAAGGCGGTACAGTTGCACAACTGCACTTTTACACGTAACTAATGAAATATTTGGAGCTAAAGAAGAAGGTCTTTGTACTGCTTTAGTTCTCCTAGACTTCAGTCGTGCTTTTGACGCCATCAATTTCAATTTGCTTCTAGCAATTCTACATTATATCGGACTCTCTGACAAAGCTATTGCATTAATGGGAGAATATTTGAAAAACAGACATCAAAAAGCACGCATAGGAGATGATGAGTCACAATATCTTGAATTGTTTTCAGGTGTACCTCAAGGATCCATTTTGGGCCCTTTACTCTTTATCGTATATACCTCAGATTTAGTTCAATCTCTCCATAACTGTTATATTCATCTCTATGCAGATGACACGAAAATTTATTTCAAATTTTCACTGGATGAATCTGAAGATGCATCCACTCGGATCAATGAAGACCTGAATGCTTTCGTCAAGCTCGCATCTGATCACTCTCTCCTGATGAATACTTAAGAATCTAATTCGATGATCTTTGGTCCGAAAATGAATAGGGATATTAACATTGATATTGGTATCCTAATCAATGATGAGGCTCTTGTAAAGGTAAATTGAGCTAGAAATCTAGGTGTTCTGATTGACACTGATTAGAAGTTCGAAAAATACGTGAACAAATCAATACAAAAGGCTCATTCCGCAATAAAGTTAATTTATGGCAGTAGTCATCTCCTTTTATCGACCCTATGTGAAACCTTGGTATCATCAGTATTCAACTATGCCGACATGCAGTATAAAAAAAATTTAAAAAGTTCAAAACTCTTGTTTCAGACTCATATATGGTATACGCAGAAGGCAAAGAATCACTTACAAATTTCGTGAATCTGGTTGGTTAAATATGGAACATAGACGAATTCCATACAATGCTTGCCTGTTCCACCAAATCATCATCACCAATACACCTCCTCACCTCCACAGAAGGTTGAGATTCGATGTGTCAATGGTTGATCCGTTGAATGAAATTTGGTATCTCGGAGGGATTTTCTACTAACTCAAACATTCGATACATGCAGTTTTTCGTGAGTTTATGATAAGCTAATTTCTGGAACATCAAATTTCGAATTCGATAATAGTTTTGTCAATTTTTTCGAGCAGATTATGCTCCAAATGATCGTATATGACCATGCAGGTATCGTCAGTATACATGAATACATCAACTTGTGTTATACAGGGTGATTCACATAAGAACCGACATAGAGCAGGGGCATGTAGGGGGTCCCAAAATATGGCAATTTAACGCAACTGTCCTCAATACCAAGTTGCTTCCCTAAGGAGTTATAGGCTTTGGAAGTGGAGTTATAAATTTTGAAAAAATCAATATCTCCGTTATTCTTGAACTCAAAGCAACCAAATTTGATACACTTTGTATATGTATTTAGGACGTTACTTGTCAGTAACTAGAGTTCAATTGAAATTTGTAAAGGGGGTATACCGGGTGGCGCAGCACTAATATTCAACAAAATTGTTAACCCTCGATGGATTTCAAAAGTCTCAGCTTTGTTGTGTGGGCAAATCAATTTTAAAACTTTTCTTACTCCAGTAATTTTTCGGAAAACCTCATCATTTTCATCAAAAACGCGCGCTCCAGTGTTATTTAAAATCATCGAAAATTCAAAAGTTGGCTATGAAAATAAACGTACAACAAGAAAGTAGGTCATTAATTGTGATCAGTAGAAATTGGCTGGCAAATTATCATTTAGTTGCGTAACAAAATACGTAAAGTAAGTACAGATACTGAAAAACTGGGATTAACAACTAACCAAAATAAACACAAAAAACCCAAACAAAAACCAGAACAAATGATTGTTCATCAATAAATTACTTAATTGAACAACTTACTTGCTTCATTGTCGAGTTTGACGTTTATTTTCATAGCCAACTTTTGAATTTTCGATGATTTTAAATAACACACCTAGAGCACGCGTTTTCAGTTATCAGAGTTTTTGATGAAAATGATGAGGTTTTTCGAGAAATTACTGGACTGAGAAAAGTTTCCGAATTGAATTGCTCACACAACAAAGCAAAGATTCCCAAAATCCATCAAGGGTTTACAAAAATCTGTTGAATATTAATGGTGCGCCACCCGGTATACCCCCTTTACAAATTTCAATTGAACTCTAGTTACTTTTAAGTAACGCCCCAAATACATTCACAAAGTCTACCAAATTTGGTTGCTTTAAAATCAAGAATAACGGAGATATTGATTTTTTTCAAAATTTATAATTTCACTTTCAATGCCTTTAACTCCTTAGGGAAGCAACTTAGTAAAGAGGTAAGTTGCGTTAAATTGCCATATTTTGGGACCCCCTACATGGCCCTGCTGTATGTCGGTTCTTAGGTGAATCGCACTGTATAATCAGGTAAGTCATTGACGTAGAATGAAATGATTAATGGTCCAAGGACACTGCCTTGTGTGGTACCAATATCAATATCCCACTCCTTGGAGATGAACTCGTCCATTTTCACGACGATTCCTTAATTTCCCAGTTAGGAGGAAAACCAATCGTCAAGATAACCACGTATACCCATTGAGTTTGATTTTTATAAACCAAGTCGAAAGCTCTTGTTGAATCAAATAAAATAGACACAACATAATTACCAGTATCTAGTTTCTCATTGAATTCAGTAGGTATAACCAATTATACTTGTTTCAGTCGAAAAGCCTTGCCGGAAACCATGCTGACAATTTGTGAGTAGTTCAAATGACTTCAAATAATATTCCACTCTTTTAAGAACAATGTCACCAATAATTTCAGAAAATGCACTCAACAAAGCTATTGGCCTGTACTTTTCCATGTAACTAGGGTCGTCCTCTTTTGATAATGAAATAATGGAGGCTATTTTGAAGCTTGTTGGGATAGTGCCTTGTGTAATAGAACCATTCATAATATGTCTGAGTATTGAAGCAATTATCTCTTCAGATCGCTTGATAATGTTTATTGGAATTTTGTCTAGACCAGTATGGGATTCCACCTGTGCTGATACTTTGGCAGCTTCCAATTTAGCAGCAACATCGCAAAGTCCGGGTACTGCTGCTATCAAAAGCTAGAAACTGAAACGCCCCATATACCAAAACCTTGGAAATAATTATCTGTTCTATCCAGTTGCAGTAAAAATTTTCGAAGTGTTTGGCCCAGAGACTTTTATTAATGAAAATGAAAGGAGATTATGTCAAACAACTTTGGAAAAACGATCAACTTCTTTCTTGATACAGAGAATGAGCATAGCGATACAAGGTAATTTGGCTTCGGTTGTTCTTGAAACCATACCACCCTCTCATTCTCTTGATGAGGTATTTCTCTCATCATCTCACAGATCGAATAACTTTCGCAATCCATCTGTTTATGGAAGTTATTGCCATGAACATCAGAAATATGTTTATGTTTCATATACTACGCAAAACATTTCATCTTTGATGCTAAGAGATCTCGATTTTGATATTGGAGAAAGTGTATTTTGTCTTGTTCGTATGCCAACTGTGAACAGGCTTTGACGAACGAATCTTTTTCCAATGATGCCAGCATCCCGTTGTAACCGTACAACTTCCCTATCAACAAATTTGGTTTGAATAACTTGAGAAATACATGTTATTTGAATAGCGATCTACAAGCTCTTTTCATGACGAAATGTTTCCGGAATGGAGTAGTTTTATAAAACAAAGACTTTCCTAAACTATTTCTCAAGATACAAGAACTCATCATTCTGTTGCAATTCTCAAAGAGGGTTTCATTTTCTCCTTCAGAGATTTCAGAATTGTCGAGAGCACCTGTTTTCTTGGTAGGTCATTAGCATGACAGCTCCGAGTTTTTGAGCTTCTCACTCAACAAACTACAAGATCAAGAGAACACCTTCATTTTCTTTTATAATTCCTCTGAAGAGGAAGGAGAAGCTTTCACCACGCTGGTGCGAACTTTTTTCAGCAGCAAGATGTTGACTGTTCCACGATGTTTGATTCGTGGAACGGACAGCGATCGTGTCAATCTATTTAGGGAGCTGCAACTGTCCTTCCCCAACACCAACTACAATGAGAACCAGACCGTGCAGTCGCTGCTGGACTACTACTTTGAGCCGGAGGAATTGACCGAAGATAACCAATGCTACTGCAAGTTATGCAGTCCATTGACCGTCAGAGAAGAAATAACCAAGATCATGGAGGCGCCGCCACGATTGATTTCAACTCTGAAGCTCTTCCGGTACGATCTTTCCTCGCACCAGAGTATCAAGATGCAACATTTCGTATGTCTTGACGAGCATCTCATTATCGACAGCTGGATTTACCAGCTTCACGCGGTTGTAATCCACTGCGGCTCAAGTGTCGATAGCGGTCACTATTTTATCATCTCCAAAGACAATAATGACAAGTTCAATGATGACTCCGTATCAAGAACATCGTCTGAGAAGCTGTCTCGACTAAGATCCCCCGGAACGCTATAATTTTTTTTTATGGCATGAAGCGCACGAAAGGAAATCCCTATAATGTTCAAAAAACATCGTGCGTTCCTAGGGACGATAGGGACAGGAGGTAGGTATTGGAATTTCTTTGAACTTCTGAAGATTATATGTTGTTGGGAATACTTCCACAGGCAATGAATCCCAGAGCCTAGCCGTTCTATGGATGAAGGGGTCTTAATAGAGTGCTGTTCGACATCTTTCGAGGTTGACAACGAAACGATGTGCTGACTGGGCTTGTCTAGTTCGTCTGATTGGTATTGCTAGCGAAGGGATGATAGCAGAGATTTCCGAAGAACATTTCCCGTGGAAGTATCGATAGAAAAGTGGAAGGTCGCCGACCTTTCTACGGTGTTTCAATGATGTCAAAGAGTGAGTGTGCCGTCACCCACCAGGCGAATGGCTCTTCTCTGGATGGAATCTGAGAGCATCAGCGTATGTTTTGGTGCTGAATCCCATATGTGGGAACAGTTTTCTAGAACAGGCCGTATCTGCGCTTTGTAGATCATGAGAAGCTGTTGAGGTGTAAAGTAGCTTTTCGCACGGAACAAGAATCCGAGTTATTGTAAAGCAGCTTTTTCGATGGATCTGACATGAATATACCATGGAAGAGTGTTGCTGATGAAAATACCGAGCATAGATATGGTGGGCTTGGTGGCGATGGTGGAGCCAGACATAACAATATCGGGCATACTGAGTTCTGCCTGTCTAGAGAAAAAGCAGGCTTGAGTTTTGGTGGCATTGAATTCAACTAGGTTGTTTGTTCCCCAGGCTGTGATTTCAGCAAAATCTTCATTGACAGCATTGACCTGCCTGCGCCGTGAGTTCTTAGTTTCCTGAGGAGAAATGGGGATTCTGGAAGAGAACGCAGTATGGAGGGTACTATCATCTGCAAAGCTGTGGATGGGGCAAGTTGTTACTCCCAACAGATCATTGATAAATCCTCTTTTATAGCCGTGAAAATGAATCTAAGTGAGGGAGCCTTTCTCCTACCTCTCTTTCTCAGAGTACAGATGATTTTGGATCTGTACCATCTTGAATTCAACGAGTTCCAGCAAGAACGGCAGCATTCCATCAATAGGTTTCATCTTTATATTGTTTTTTGCAATTATAAACCCTTTATTTCTCATTGAATAAATGAATATATATTAGTACAAGATGAAAACATATAACGATTGAGTAGGTAATACAACATAGACAAAAATATTGTTTGAATCAACGAAAATTTTGTGAATTCAACAAAATCTGAGTGGTATATATCCACGACATAATATCCCGTTACTGCAACAAATCTGTTTAGTCCATTTTCGACTTGAAATTCGGATGATGTAACGAATTATTGTTCCAAATCAATAGCAAGATTTGGTTGAATGATCAAAGACCATTGTTCCTATCATACAATATCTGCTTGGATGGACACATTCTGTTCATAGAAATGAACATGTTATAGCATTCGAGTGACATAATTTTCAGTTCCTCAGAAAGTCAATATATTGAAATAACAATATATCATCAGAATATAACAAAATATTTTTTCTATCCAATTACGAGTTCAAGGCGATCAAGAAGATCATATTCAGAATTGACTCACAATTTTGTTGATCACTATTGTTTGAATTTTTTGATAACTGAATCATCTCGGAACTCAAAGATATGGAAGATTGATTGTTGCAGTTCGATCAAGACTATCAAATCGCAAGCGTCATCTGAAGTTCTAGGATAGCTTTTCATGAAATTATATAAACGGATGTTCTAGCTACCTATTTGTACACCCCAATTGAGGCGAGCGTAGATAGAGGTGAAGAAACGTCATCTTGTGACGGTAATGCTAGATTATCAATCAACAAAATATTCGTTCGATATATTGTATCAGATGAACAAATTGATCTTGTCAGAACAACAAAATATTTCTTGATGATGGGAATCAACAAGTTATAAAATTCTCAAAATGTATTCAATTTTGTCGAATAGGAGTGAATGATTGATTGAAAAATGAAAGGATTGTTGAAACAACGGAACTGTCCTCCGTTGGATCTTCGTCAAGAGAAATTCAATTTTGTCAAATAAACACGATGCATAGGTATTGATTGAATAATATGATGATAGTTGGATCAACAAAAATGTTTTATGCCTATCATACATTTTGATGAATGCACCAAACCATTGTTGAAGTGAACAAATTTGTCGATCAAAATATTTTGTCTTTTTGATTGATTTGCTCATTCAGAATAAATATATATTCCGTTGTAGTCGCAAGAATTTCGTCAATTTGACAAAGAAGAAATGATGATGATATGATCACATGAGTGTTCAATGAAACTTGATTGTTCAAGATATTGTTGATGAAAAAAAATAACTTTGTTAACCCTTTTTCCTTCCTCTTTCACCAAAGATTCTGATATCAATTTGATAACTTCTTCTTACTGCAATGAACATGTATTGTGAAACGAATTGTTGTTTCGACTATATTCATTTCATTCAAGTACCGATACATGCGATAAGAAATGACAAAAGTATGTTTTTTTTGTTAAAATCGTAGCCACTCAACATTTTGTACTTCCATGACATTCAAAGTGCTGATCGATGTACTATGGAAAGTTATGTTCGAAAGACTTTAGTAAGGAGAGGTATGTATTATGAACTTGCCAACGTAACATCAGTGGTCGGAATTGACCAATTTTTTTGGTGGTTTTATTTCATCTACACGAAACAACCAGCATTTTAGGAACGTTTTCGTTAGATATGTCTCCGATCTCGATGAAAATATTTTGCAGGAAATATTTGAAGTAAAATCACCTCTCTGCAATTTTTTGAAAAAGTTACGGAAGGCGGAACGGAACCCCAAATAGAGGTGGAGAAGATACCATTGAGATATCTTTGTGTTACCTGGTCTTCATACTCCATATTTCATTCCTGAATATAAAAGATTTCCATCAGATCAGGCTAACGTTGATTTCCATCATCACACTGTATATAAATTCCTCTCCACATAAATAAGATGAATCTGATGACTCACATGAAATTACTTTCTTCAATCAACTTTGAGATTATTCCCCAGCAGTTAATGGGTTTATGTGAAACGATAATTGAGAATCAATGGGAACAATTAAGCATTACTTTTTATATATCTCTGTAAGCTGGGCGAGAGGTCTACTGTCGTAATGTCTGGTCAATATCTAAATTCCGAGCGAACTCATTCATTATAATGTCAGCGATTACACTCAATGCCTTCATCAACCACGGTGAGAGTAGACGTCTGGGTCTTTAGGTCGATATTGATACATGATCAACTACCTATTATAGATAGATGATGTGTCGAATCAGTGCTCAACAGTGAATTCAAATAGGTATGTGTTGCATATTGAATTGATTTCGAAATTAAAGTAACGTACAGAGCATCTCATTCACGTTGGGACAGTCAGGTTTCTTGCGATATCAACGTTTTTGTTCTATTGTTGTGGAATTCTAGAAGACTTTGAGATATCTCCATATCTTTCAACGTTTTCCAGATAAATGGTTATTTTGAGAATTCCATATTTATGGACCGCTACTTTATTGACAAAGTTATCAACGACAATAATATGTTCAGAACTTTGTGTTATACTTACATTCTAAAAATAATCATTTCATGGTAACTGAATTCATTTTATATCTGGAGATACGTTATTTATCCAGAACTGAATCGTCCTGATAGGGAATAACAGATCCATCGCTGAAATTATAACTTCAATATTGAGTTTGATACAACAGTAACAGCTTTTGTTTCCTGTATCGTGATGAGGTATTCTCACAATAAAGCTCATGTAGTCATCGAACAGATTGTCGATTATTTCATATGTATTGAACTTCGAACTCATTCAATATTCAGAATTATCATAACTCGAACTCCAGATATGGCATTGAATATCATTTTATTGGTAACTCTTCTCTGAATTCACATATTCTGAAAATAAATCTATCACAGATTCAACTAGATCAATTGATGCATGAATGTAAAATGTAGAATGAGGTGGGAGTATAGCGATCGATACACTCATATGGCTTTCCAAAATCCTAGCAGAGAATGCTGCTTTCCCAACCGAAACTGAACACCTCTGGATTTCGAGACAAACGCGAGTCTGTCATCACATTCAATTGACGAATGATCTCTTCTTCTATTCATTGTGAATTTCTTTCAATAGATTATTTTGAATAAAAGCAATATGGTTATTTTCGAACTCATTTGGTGAAATTTTTAGCATCGACAAAATAACCGCAAATTGAATTCATTTTTATATATGCATCAACAAGTGAATTGATGATTATAGAGATACAAAATTCTTCTGATTTCCAGATACATTCTTTCCAAAACCATATCATTTGCTTCAAGCAAGAAAATGAATTTCTCGATGTTAAACCAGTTTTACTTTATGAATTGATCAATATTTCCTCACATCAATTGTTGATATTGATTATGAATGGGCATATTGTACACCTCAACAGCTTCTCATGATCTACAAAGCGCAGATACGGCCTGTTCTAGAATACTGTTCCCACATATGGGGTTCAGCACCAAAACATACGCTGATGCTCTTAGATTCCATTCAGTGAAGAGCCATTCGCCTGGTGGGTGACGCCACACTCACTCACTCTTTGACATCATTGGAACACCGTAGAAAGGTCGGCGACCTTTCACTTTTCTATCGATACTTCCACGGGAAATGTTCTTCGGAAATCTCTGCAATCATCCCTTCACTAGCAATACCAATCAGACGAACTAGACAAGCCCAGTCAGCACATCCTTTCGTTGTCAACCTCGAAAGATGTCGAACAGCACTTTATCAAGACTCCTTCATCCATAGAACGGCTAGGCTCTGGAATTCATTGCCTGTGGAAGTATTCCCAACAACATATAATCTCCAAAAATTCAAAA